ATTTTGATGATTCTTTTTTATTTTTTTTATTTGGAAGTTGGTGCTTTCTCATCTCATAGCAAGAGTCGCTATTTATTTAAATGATATTATGGAGTGAATTTTCTATGCCCAATGTGTTCTTCTGTGCTTCTGTATAAAATTTGCCACAAAGAGAATATCTCCAGTAAAGTTTTTTTACCAGTGAAAATCCTCAAATTAAAAGAAATACCTTAACCTTGTACTAGATTTTCTGAAAGAGGCATTACGGACAAAAGGAAAAACAATTCAAAATCTGTGTCCGTTATTGCCTGCTAATTGCAGACTTTTTTGGAAAAATTTGTGTTTTAATAATAATGTTGAAAATTTAGCAAACGAGGAATAAGGCACAGAAAATTAAACACTGTAATTAAATGATAATAGTTACGATCAGTGAATGTGATAAAATGTAAGCTAGTTTTTGAAACAGAATAAGTTGGTATAATCTTCCAGGTAACACTGATTCTAAAAGTTGACTTATCAGTGATTCTTAATTATATTTAAGTATTGTTTTTCATTAAGGTGCTTTTTGGAGAAGTCCTTTTGAAACAATTTTATGTTAAAAAGCTTTTTCATGTTGTTTGTAAGTTAATGAGAATAATTTTGTGCCAAATAACACTAAACATTATAATTTTTGATCTCTATAATTAAGTCTTTAAGTTTTGCTAAAAAGTATATTTTAGAGAAGTTTTGTATTTTTAAGAATTGTTATGGCAAATAATAACAACCAATATGTAATTTTTGATCTCACTGATAAAGTTTTATAAATAAAACATGTAAGTTAACTACATTTTTGTTCTTTTCTCCACTATTTAATGCATACTGCTCATCATGTTCTAACAAAAATATAAAAATGCTACTTTTAAAAGCAATAACATCCTTTACTGTGCAATGAAATAATTTAAAAAATTAAAAACCTTAGTGAAAGGGTACTGCCCTTTCACTAAGGTTTTTAATTTTTTTACTAACTACTGTTTTACGTAGATATTTAAGTGTATTACCATTTTCTCAAAACCCCTTTCCTGACTTACTGCCCCGTCTGCATCCACATGACCATCACAGACAAATATTAATGAAGTTATAGTATATAAGAATAGTATATAATACCATAGAATCATTTTTAACACATAGATTACAAAACCTTTGTCCTGGGGGAACCAACAAGAAACCCTGTGGGACTTTTTTTTGAAGTATTGTATACAATTAGTATGAGAACAGAAACAGCATGGTAGTGATCACCCCATTGTCAGGGTTTATTTATCAATCATGTACACTTTAGTAGCATAATAAATCTTTATTAAACAATTTTTGATTAATAAAAATTTTAAACTTTTTGATAGATAAGGCCTGCATATTTTCTGGGGCTTAATTGCCCCATGATGGAATTACTGGCTCTTTGGACTCGAGGATATAACTAACTTGTGCTTGTTTCTAGTATTTACAGAATATACATCACTATTTTTACATAAAACTATGTTTGTTCTTGTGTACATACATTAAATTAAAAAAAAAAATATTTTATAATTACAAAAAATTTTTTGTATAAGGTTTTTGGCGGCTCCGTGGCGCAGTGGCTTAGCAATAAGTCACAACGCTAAGGGCCGTGAGTTCGAATCCCTCACGGAACAAGTATTTGTATGGCCTACAAATAATTATCCCAGGTCTGGATGTTTGTCCTTGTGAATTTTATGTATGTAAACTGACCCCACGATACAGGAGAAAATCCTAGTGTGGAGGTAACATTTTAAAAAAAAAACTATCAAACTGATCAAATATTTAATTCCTTATATTTTAGTAGCTAACAATATTTTCTAACAATTTGCTTAGTTGAGAAGCAAATAGAGTCTAGTATCTGAATATCTTATAGGTACTAAAATATATAATTTTACAACATTTATTGCAAATGTCTACATTGTAAATTCCAATTTGGAAAAACTAATGTATAAATTAAACATTTTCAGATAAACCGAAATATGATGCTACCCTAAGAATTAGAAGTTGTTACAAAATCATGTGAGAAAACTTAAATTTTAATTAAAGAAGTCTAGAAAAACTATAAAAGATTTCAGGACTCGTCTATCAAATGCAGAATAAATGAGTAATCAAGTAGCATTTGAGAAGATCACCAAAAAGATGACATTTGCAGCGAAGGTTTTGTTATAACTGTTTAGAATCATTTATTGTAAAAATATGTTTCATATTTTGTATTGTCAAAACTGTTTATGAATCGTTTATTGTAAAAAATATTATTTTTATGCTATGTTTTGTTAGAGCTGTTGAGAATCATGTATTGTATAAAATATTATTTTTATGCCTAGTTTTGTTAAAGCTGTTTAAAAAATATTATGTTTGTACTTGTTTTGTTATAGCTGTTAAGAATTGTATCTCATAAAAAAAAAATTCTTAGTTAGTATTGTGAAAGCTGTTAAGAATAACGTATTATAGAAATATTGATTTCATAATTTGTATTGTGAATGCTGTGTTATATGAATTGTTTATTGTAAAAATGTTAGTTTGTGTGTGGCGCAGTAAGAATATCCACCAGTCCATATCATCCCGTGAGTGTCATTAGAGGCGACAGAGGGAAACAAATCAGAAGATCGACAGCAGTTCCTTCCTAATAACGACTAAATTTAAAAGCTGCGGTTGGTAAGCTGCTTGCCAAGCGTTGCAACTATGGTAAATATCTCTTCTATGAGGCGATTGTCGAAGCTGTGTTCTGAAGAATCACTTATTTAATTAAACAAATATTATTTCATATTTTCTATTGTCAAAGCTGTTATGAATAACAAGAGGCCAAGCCCTCTTTTTATTTTTTCGCCAGTTAGATTATTAGTTGCCGGCTTTTTAAAAAGGAGTAGGCTGTTTTCTATAAGGTCCCTAAGTCGTATCGGTCCGGAAAAATCGCTGGTGGTAATCGATTCCACAAGGAAGTTGTGCGAGGAAGAAAACTTCTTCTAAATCGCACAGTGGTGGACCGCCAACCTAATATCCGTCCGGATGAGAGGTTAGCAAGTCCAACAGGGAAGGTGTATGATCCTCCACATCTGGAATCCGCGTAGGCGAAGTAACCAGTTGTGTCAGATATTTTTTCAGTTTAATATTTTGTTATATCAAAACTATGTTTATGAATAATTTATTATTAAAAAATGTTATTTTCATATTTTGTTTGTGAAAATTTATTGTTAAAGACATTAGTTTAATATTTTGTTATAATAAAGCTGTGTTTCGAATCATTTATTGTAAAAAAATATTGGATTACCGTGTAGTGACAGTCTCAGAATATCCACAACTCCATATTATCATTCCGTGGGTTTCATTGTAAGAGGTGACAGAGGGAAACACATCAGCAGGTGGACTGATCTTCCTAATAACTGCAGTTGCCAACCCACTTGCCAAGCGTGGTTACAGCTTTGGATTTATTCATAGCCGTCTAAGTTTACCCTTATGATATTAGCTTAACATTTTGTAATGTTAAAGTTTGTTATGATTCATTTATTAAAATAATGAAATTTACTATTTTTGTATAGACACTGTGTTATTAATATATAATGATTTAAACATTAGAATAAAAATATTAGTTTTATGTGTTGTATTGTCAAAACTATGTTAGATCTTTATCAATCTCCTTTATTTTCATTAAGTTCAAAAAATATAGAATAATGTACTAATTATTTGTGTTTAATTTAATTCACGTTAAAACATTATACTTAATTCCTATTTACAAATTATGAAGCACACTTTATGTATTAGGATTAATTATTAACAACCGACTATTAAATTAAACATTTGAAGCATTTAGTTACTATGCAGTTATCTTTTAAAAATGTTTCAAATGTTTAATTCACAGTTGGTTGTTGATAATTAATCCCAGTACATAAAGCGTAATGAATGACCATGAACAGAGGTGTATATGTAGAGGTGCAAGTGTTATATGCACGCACACATTCTCACAATATTGTGGCGAAACGACACCAGACGGCGCTAGTACTCCTCGGTTGACAGATTTCGCGCGAGTGGGCTCTCTTTTCCTGTATAGGACAGTTACTATACTCTTTGAAGCACACCAACAGCTCGCTCGTCACTGTGGCCACGGCACGCGCCCGCCGTCGCGCCGGCAACAGGCTCAAGTCACCGCGCATTCACTGTGGACTAACAATGGGACGTCAAACACCTCAGTCCCCTCTGCGACCATGACTGTAGACATAGGCAATGTGTATCACTTTAATGAAAAGATTGATATGCATCTTTTGATCACTGGGATATGTATCACTCTTTTGTATCTTTATGTATCAGTAGCTCAAGCTCGCGCGCACATTACATTGCACTGCTCACTCAGCGTGGCTCGCTTCGCTCAATTCAATTCTATCAATAAGTGATAGATAAGTACTTGTATTTTGCTTGGTCGTTAGTCGTTACATTGTGTATCTTTCTGATATATTTGGCTGCTGTTTCTTTCTAGGTATCTATTTGTTATGATTAAAAATTAAAATTTTCTTATTTCTCAGAATTAAAATAATAATTAGATTAATGATTAACGAAAATAACATAGGTAGGGTAGGTATTGTTTGTATTTATTTGTAGAAAATATATATTATATAATTTATCGATTTCCCTTCATACTTTTCCAGGCTTCGGACTGGCAACCTATTTACGTGCAGTTATTTCAGTTATAGTGTAAAATATTAGGTATACGCAATGACGTATTAAAAAAGATAGACAGGTTACACACTAACATTATTGTATTTTAAAGTGGCGCATGTAGTACTATATCTACGTACAGTTATTTATTGTGACACGTTGCGCTAACAAAAAGAGACAAACCTATCGTTAGAAAAACCTGCATATACATCATTAGTTGCGTATTGATTGCTGCTGAGCGCTCATTGGCGCGAGCGCGTGACATACCGATATGGCAAATGAACACACTAGTTAGCGTCAAAGTTTATATTAGCGGTTAGTATTGAAATAATAAAATCAATTATGAACAAAACATCTATATTCAAAATATTAATGAGACGTTTTTCTTGTCTCTAACAGTTGCCGTGTAATTTGTGCACCACCTAAAAACACAGGAAGGCATTTTTATCACGAATAACTAGAAGATTTACGCGCTGTAGCGAAGGTATAACCGCGACGCAAGAGCGTGCCCGACTGAATGCGAGTCGGGCAATTACCTGACTTTCGTATTGCCATTTTAGAGCGAGTATAACATATATATACTTTAAAAACATCTTAGGGTATACGTAGTTGAATTTAATAAGTAAAAATTATATTTATTATTATACGTATTTAGAAATCAGTGGCTATGTACAGTGATTTTTTGATTATTATTTACAGCATCATTTATATATATATACATTTAGTTTTTAAACATACTTATACTTATTCAAATGTCAGAGTTGCAACTTATGAATAGTAGTAGAGAGACTTTAAGCCCTATGCAACAGTCATAGAGTTATCAATTTACCTTTTTGTGCTGACGTATAACAGTTTAAAATGGTCAAACAATTCACTCTCTCCGTCTTACGAAAGCGCGACAGAACATTCTAAATAGTGAGGTGCGAAAGAAACGTCTGTACTATGGACTTTCCGAAATCTTCCTGGAATGGCCGGCCGGCTAAGGTATAATAGAAAGCACCGTGCGAAATGTGCGACACAGATGTTAGATAGAAAAAGTTAAAAGACGACTTAAGTGAATTAGTTGTAAAGATACACTGATACAGTCATACAGTGATACAGTGCTATACAACAGTCATGATGACTGTTGTATAGCACTCGAAACGTCGGGATTCAAAATATAAAAATAAGTAATAAAACGATGAAATATGTAAAATAAGTTTTATTTTCAATATCTTCATAAACAATGATGCATCGACATGCACTCATTAAAAAATATCTGCAATACCAATACAGTCAGGAAATTTAAAAGAAAATTAAAATGTACACGAATAAGTGTCCTTGAGTTTTGCGGTGAAAGGCAATTTCAAGAGTCATTTAGGATAACGTCGTTTATACAAAGACATTAAAAAAGATAAACAGGTTACACACTAACATTATTGGTGGCGCAGGTAGTACTATATCTACATACAGTTATTTATTGTGACACGTTGCACTAACAAAAAGAGACAAATGATAGGGCATACCTATCGTTAGAAAAAGATGTATCATTAGTTGCGTATTGATTGCTGCTGAGCGCTCATTGTCGCGAGTGCGTGACATACCGATATGGAAAATGAACACACTAGCTAGCGTCAAGTTTACACTAGCAGTTACTGTTGAAATAATAAAACCAATTATGAACAAAACATCTATATTTAAAATATTAATGAGACGTTTTTCTTGTCTGTAACAGTTACCGTGTAATTTGTGCACTACCTAAAATCACAGGAAGGCATTTTTGCCACGAATAACTGGAAGATTTACGCGCTGTAGTGAAACTATAGCGACGCGACGCGAGAGCGTGCCCGACTGAATGCGAGTCGGGCAATTACCTGACTTTCGTATTGCCATTTTAGAGCGAGTATGGCGTATCTATACTTTAAAAACATCTTAGCGTTTATATAACACCACTTAAGTCGATTTTCGGCAGTTGCCATAACTTTGATTTCATTGGATAAAGCTTTTTCGCGTGCTTCGATCTACCTATTGCAATCTTTACTTTTCCACCAATAAGAACGCGACATTCAAAAAATTGTGAGACGGGTAATTGCTGGACAAAGAAAACTCGTTAAGAAAACCAAATTGGGTAATACTAATAATATAAAATAAGAATCTTGTCTACTATATTTCCTTAAACAATTACATACCGTCTAAACTTAATTTAATTATTGAAACGAAGTTCCTTATCGCACGGTACGAATTAGGGTGGGGGCTAGGCCAGAAAAAGTGTAACATTTATTCGTCACGGTCCCTTTCTATATAGATCGGGCGATGGTGACAGAAAATAGTCTCCCATTTTCTCCTGCATGCCTTTTTAAAAATTGATAACTAACCTTAAAATATGAAAGATAGAGGGGTTACGAGCCCTTGCGCGCTTACACGTCATAAAGAAAATGGCTTCTCTTTGTGTAAAGAATTTTAGTATTTTTCCGTGACATTATATTGCATGCCTTTGTAATATAACGTTGGAACAAATTTAAGCTATAATAATTGATGGCATGCAATTCGCAACGGGCGACGGGGCTCAAAGGGTTACGTAGAAATGAAAAAAAAATAGAACATTTCCGTGTTTACAAATTGCATGCCGTTGTAAAAAATTAGTTTTTTTTTTATCTCAAAAATACTCTACGAAAATTGGCATGCACCCCTCGTATGACCAAGGGTGGAAAATATTAGGAAAATGTTGTGAAAATTCAATACAACTTTTCGTGATTTCAAACTGCATGCCATTTGAACAATAATTAATTTTTATAATTTATTGACATTAGCAAATTTGGCATGCACAACAGGAAGTTTTAAATTAGTGGCATGAATGACGAAAATTGCAAAAAACGCTGTTATAATTTCCGTGACTTTATTTTGCATGCCATTCAATATTTCATTACTTATTTTAAGTTGATAAAAAAATGGCATGCATATTACACAAGCCTGACATACAAAACTAAAATTAAAAAAAGTTTTTTAACGAAAATAAAAATAAGGAACATTTCCATGTTTTTTTTTGCATGCCTTTTTGTACATTGTCTGTAAATATTATTTTAAACTTCAATAACAAATGGCATGCATGTTTATTGATAAAAAATTACTTAAATAAACAAAAAAAGCGCTGCCAATACATTGGTATGTGGCTTTCTTCAAACTAAGTTATTGTTTCTATTATTAAGTACTCGGGTTTACTTTATTAAATAACTGAAATATTTTATATAGTATATTGTCAAAAAGTCACGTAAAATAAAAAATTGTTTTTTTTGGTGATTTTGAAATGCTTGTAATTTTTTATGAAACTTTCATTATTATTAAAATACGATGGTGTTATTTAATACGCATGCCATTTTCGATATATACTTAAAATAATATGTTTTTATGAAATGCAAAACGAAATGCAAATTAAAAACACGGAAATGTTTCATATATTTTATGAAACTTTCATTATTATTTAAAATACGATCGTGTTATTTAATACGCATGCCATTTTCGGTATATACTTAAAATAATGTTTTTATGAAATACAAAACTGCATGCAAATAAAAAACACGGAAATGTTTCATATATTTTATGAAACTTTCATTATTATTTAAAATACGAAAATTCTACTCAAATAATACTACATTCATATAAATTATGACTGTATTGTTATTAGATAAAGTACATGTTTATTGTGGACACCAGCTTTTTTACATTAATAAAGACATAATTTGATAAAAAATTGTTTTACTTCAAGCAAACTGCTTCTCTGCCGTTGCATATTTAAATGATTCCTTACCTAAATTACAAGCATTTTGTACCCTAAATTATCTGGATGTGAAAACAATAAACTAGGTTTCTTCTCTCCTGAAAAGTTAGCGAAATTGACTTGCGCGGTGTTGTAATATTAATTAACAACTATAAGACTTAAATAGAGGCAAAACGTAAAAGGTGACAAAAGATGGGCAGCAGCATCTTCCTATTAACAACTCTGTACGAGCATGAAATGCAACGTACAATTGTCAAGTCATCATTTCACAACTTGACCTCTTTTACATATTTCCACGGCAATTGTATTATAAAATCAGTTTGCTTATAGCCATCAAGAGCGCTACGTGTACTCATTATTATCAGTAATTCTAGTCTTAATAATTTGTTACTTATTCAAAATATATTTTATCAGACTTATCAAGCGTTATCAGTTTATCATCCCCTTAGTGTCGGTACAACCCCGAACAAACTCAAAATAATAATAAACTGCAGTTGCTAAATCTCCTGTCAAGCATGGCCATAATGTCAAAACCTGTTTATGAGTTATGAGGCAATCTGGGGGAGGCCAATAATGGTATAATGTTATTAATAAATATCATTAAAATTTACAAATGTTTAAATAAAACGTATGTACCTCATTCACACATTTCTTCAAAAAATTTATTACACAAATTTATTTTTTAAATCAAATATGAACCAAGTTTAGATTAACACCAGCACCTTTGATATTCTTAATTACAATATTAAGTGCTAAATGACTGCTCAATTGGCGGTGAAAGAAAACATAGTGAGGACACCTACATGTTAGAGACAAAATATTTTGGGGACATGCAAGATCTCACATGCATTGATGCGGCATTAAGGACTAGTTGCTTTCTCTTAGCCCTCCCAGTCCTCTCAGAAATAAGAAAAGCCCAGCTGTTCCACCTATAAAACTGATATTTACTTACAGTTAAGAATCTAACAAGCAGTAAAATTTAAATTTTTGTACAACTTCAATAAAATGAAAACATCATCAATGTGGTCCAAGTCAATTAAATACGCATTATTAAGGATAACTCAAAAACTACTAGTCAGATATTGATCAAATTTATATGGGACCACATGAGAAACACCAGCTTTCAAATAAAACAGAATCATAAATATCAGTTTACCTGGACAAAATTCTGAGGTAACACACATAAAAAAAATAGTCATATTAAATACCTCTCCTTCTTTTGAAATTGGTTGAAAATATTCATACTTAAATAAACTTATATTTCTAAATAAGAATCACTAAACATTGTTTACATTTACAGAGAATTCAATGGAAACAGGCATTGGTCTGCTCACTCTAATCATAGAAAATCTTTCTCAAAACTATGTTAACTTGACATAAAATTCATCTTACAAATACATTTCATTTTGTGCTTTTAGCAACTGCTAACATTTCCTCTGCAGTGAGTGGTTTTCGAAGTTTCTTGTCAATTTTGTCTTCTTTAAGCTGTACAACTATATGCTGTGCATTTCTTACATTTTTCTTTAAATTCTCTATCCTTGTTTGTCTTTCCAAAATATCTGCCGCAAAATTGTCAACTTCCTTCTTCATAATATCTACATCTATGTTGAGAATCTTACTCATAGGTTTGAATCTGAGGTTAGATAGGGTTTCGAGTTGTAAATTAAGCATTTTATTCTCCATAAGTGATGATTTTTGTTCGTATTCTACACACATTTTTCCAAATCTTTTACGAGATTCAACGACCACGTTCATAAGATTTTCGCATTTCTCCTCCAACGTGATGTCTTCTGAATCTAAAACATCATAATTAATTATATCTATGTATGTCACTATTGATTTAAATGTTTAATTTGTAGGTCATGAATAAAGTCTCACCCATTTTCAAAACAAACGCTTCTTGTCTTCTCTACATTTGTAAGGAAGATTCACTTTATAACTCTGTTTTTATACTTTTTTCTAGTTTTTAATAAATTTCTTACAGTTTATCTATGTAGTTTAAATATACTAGTATACTACGCAATTTAAATGTTTATCTTGTAGTTTGTACATATTCATTTTTAATTTTTAATATAAAATTCGTTTTCGTTCATGGAGTATAGAGTAGAAGGAGGACCATCTCTGTTAGTCTCAGGGGGAGGAAAGTTGGTAGTAAAAATTTGAAGTCTAATGGCTCCAGTACACGTTGGCCGAGCGCGCTTGGCGAGCGCACTCGGCAGATTTTTGTGGTGCCGTTCACACGTTGGCGTGTTTCATTCTGCGTTGGTAGCTAGATGATGATGGACGTTAGGGCAATCGCAGCCGCTGTCATATACTTATACAGCGCTTCACTCTTCTCAGAGTGAACGAAAAAAAAACTACACATACAACAATAATCCCAGTTTGTCCTTTTTAGGGTTCCGGCCTCAAAAGGAAAAAAGAAACCTTTATAGGATCTACTAGCTGACACGTGCCCGCTTCGCTGGGGGTTTTTTTCAAAATAAATGATAGCCCAAAAGAAGCCCCTACGCTACATTATCCCTGAGCAACATAAACGCAGGGATAATTTATAATAATATTTATCATTAGGTAGGTACTCTGAAATCGCAACTAAACATGTATTATTTAATGCAGTTAGGCAAGTTAAGTAAATACCAGAGTAAGTACTCTAGTTTTATTTTTATGTTGCTCATGTTTGGGGTTCCATATGACTGATTCATTGTGAGAATCAATCAATGAACAATGAATCAATATTTCACTCCATAATTATTAAATCGTAATGTGTTGGTATGCATATTACTAAACATTAAAAATATATTATATTGAATTATTTATTTTTTCATAATATATAATATTTATTTATATATATATATACATGCGTATATATATATATGTATATATATATATATATATATGTATATATATATGTGTGTGTGTGTATATGTATATATTTGTATTGTATATGTATATTTATGTAAGTGCACACTTTGACTACCTCTACTTCCTTCAACTATCCTTCCATAGGCCTGCTGGAAGAAATTTCATCATGGAATAGGCAGTGCCTTTGTACATAATTATGTTTTTACGATTTTCCTATCAAATTATGTGTGTACATAAACTGTTAAATAAATAAATAAATATTTCCTCATTAGTCCATGTCGCCATGTTGAAACAATTTTATTAAGCCGACACTACAGTCTACTCCGACGCGTAACTATGAACTGAACACTCGGCCAACGTGTGAACACTGTTTGCGGCTTGCGCCAAATTCCTTTGATTTGTGCACGGAAAACCGACACTATACGGCTCGTCGGCGAGCGTTGGCCGCAAACGCCAAATATGTACAAAACGGCCGGGTTGGCTATAGATATCCGGTACTTGATTTTAGTTATGTTTTCAACTTAGGAGGCTTGTCAGGGTTAAGCATGAACATTTTAAACTGTTTTTGAATGTTGGAAATGCGTTTTTAATTAATTATGACAAAAATAAATTTCAATAAAAATTCCGTATAACGAAACGCAAATATGACAATTTTGTATAGTGTTATGAGATTAGATGTCAAAAACAGATGCAAAAAGTGTGAATCGGAACGGTTGTTGACGGCCATGTTGTCGGCAACCGTAAATGTCAAATATAATATATTATCTATGATGTCAAATGTAAATTGTCATTCCGTTTCTCTAGTAGTCACGCGAATGTTCTTTTTTGTGCTTAGTGCTGTGTTTTCCCTGTTTTTTCGACGACTTCTGCTCTGTTTTTGGACTTCTTTGATTGCCCTTACGTTTGACCTTGGCTTTGTTTCTGGTTTTGATTGGATTGCATTACTTTGGACTTTGGCTTGCTTACCGGACCTGAGAATGAGCGATTACGAACCCGTAGCGGGGCCTTCTTCGGCATCTGACGCTTTACTCGAGGAACCATCACACATCGACGAAGACTTCTCTGACGACGGCGACTATGTGAAGCGTCGACTATACGTGTCTGAGATTATGTTCATGTGGAATCTGTCGGATATTGTGCGTGAACTTGGAACGAACGAGCAATGTGTTCGATATAGTGAGGATGAAGGGCTGGTCCTAAAGAACCGAAAGTGCGGCAAACATAAAACTAATATGAAAATTTCATACTCAAGTGGCTGCAAATCGCTTGGTACTTTCATATGTGCTAAAGCATCCTGTAAGGGGAAAGCTGGAGGCAGTGGAGTTAAAATCTCACGACGACAAGGGACTTTTTTTGAAAATGTAACTCTTGATATGCCCCACATATATTACCTCATATATGCATATTCACAAGGATGGTCTTATAATCAAACAATCCATGAAGACCCATATAAACGACAGAGACAACAATGTTTAAGCCCAAATACAATATGTGATTGGTACAATTACTGCAGAGAGGTAGTTGTTATTTACTACCTCGAGAAACAGAATCAGTTTACTGGAAAGATTGGTGGCCCTGGTAAAATTGTACAAATTGATGAGAGCAAATTTGGAAAACGAAAATACAATAAAGGTTGATGGATGATTATGTTTACACCTTTTTTTGTCATACTAAATGTCTAATATTAATTTTATTTGTTATAGGACGTCACATCGAAGGCCACTGGGTGCTCGGTATGATAGAAGATGGGTCTGAGGATCTCAGACTAGAGGTGTGCCCGGACAATATTAGGTCTGCTGAGGTACTGGTGCCGCTTATACAGAGACATGTGGCGGCGGGTACCACAATTCATACTGATTGTTGGCGGGCATATGATTGTTTGGCAGAACACGGGTACACACATAAAAAAGTTAACCACTCAGACCCAGACAATCCATTTGTGGCTGAAGATGGGACTCATACACAACGAATTGAGTCGCAGTGGAGAGCAGTGAAGAGGTTTTTTAGAAAACAAAATTATAACAATTCTCAAAGTTTTACAGACGTGATAGTAGAGTATTTGTGGAGACGAAATGTAGAAAAGTTTAAAAAGGATCCATTCAAAGAAATTATGCGAGCAATAAAGCATGTGTATAAAATAAATTAAATAATTAAAATTACATTGTTTCATTTACCACTATCATAGCAGAGTTTAGGGAAACCTGACTTTAGATAAGATAGATCGAATTTGTACTAAAACTGACTCAGAACACCCCGACTCCACGTAGTCTTGTCTGCCCTACCCCTAGAGTGTTTTTTAAAGCCGTAGGCGCGGAGGGAAAGCAGCCCCCGCCCGCTGTAGCAAGCCGAAGGCGACCAATAAGCCGAAGCTGCGGAGGTGAGCATGGGGGCCTGCGATTTGCTACGCAAGGGCGATGGGGCTGCATTTCCCGTAGCGCCGAAGCCGTTACAGAAGTAACTTTGTGTCAATATTCCTATGTAAAAAAGTGAGGTTATGATTTTACAAAAGAAATTATTACTCATAAACTATACATTTCCGCAAGCGGGGAAGGGTAGGGGGGCTTCCCCTGACCCCCCCCCCCTCCCCCTCCCATCCTCGTAGGCGAGTACCGGATGTCTATAGTTTAACCAAAATTCCTTATAGACAAGATATCAGTGTTCATTAATCATAATAATAGTCATTTCTAACACGCATATAATATCTTCACCTATAATTATGTGAAAAAAATTTGAAAGTTAAATTTCACCAACTTTTATGTTCCCGATGGTGCGGAAATTTTTCATATACGTAAGTTTAGATAAAAATAAGTAACCTCATTCTAAATCCAATATGACAGACTCCCAAAGATGAAGGACTAGATATTTTTTTGTGCATTCCAATTATATGGATATCAAATAAAAGGCTTTGCCGAGAAGAATACCAAAAATAAAAATAAAAGTGAAGCGTGTTTTTGTTTTTTTTTTTTTCTCAAACTCGCTCTCATAAATTAAACGTTTTCAAATGTTTTTAAGGAATAATTTATATTAACTTAAATCTTACCATAGAAACTTGTGATACTTGTGTCAAACTTACGGAAGTTACAATCAAGAAATATATTTATTATGCGAATCTTAAACAATAAATATAGGGTTTAATATTTATTATAGTCCGGCCGCTGAGTTATTACCGATTTGACACATGACGAATTGACAATACTAGTGAAGTGACTGAACCAGTAACCCTAATATCATTTGGGAACAGTTTGTTTTTAAATATTCTAGTATAGTGTGTAATTAAATAAAATCAAAACAATAATAGTTAAAGACACAGGTTCTTTATTAGGTGGAGTATCCTTGATGGGCGTAAATAATTGGTCGAGGACATATCAAAATAAAACAAATTTGTAAACACTGTTACACATTTTAATGAATAGAGTAGGTACAAGATGTTTTAATAAATGACTACCTATCATTTATTAAAACAATTATTCAGACTCTGAACCAGATTCGCCAGAGCTGTCATCGCTATCAGTCACTTGTATGACAATTTCATTCTCTATAATGGTGTCCACTCTTATATCGCGTTCATAATCTTCTGTTATTAGTTTTCGAGTCTTTTCGACGACCTTGACCCAATCTTCTTTAGTTATTTTGCTGCAAGCATCTTTTAATAGACCCATCATTTTATTAGTACTGAATAGCGGAGTTGTATTATTACGAGCTGCGTAACCTGTAATGTAAACATTAAATAACGTTAATTTATTACATTAAATAAACGAAATGTTACACAATTACCTACATGTAAGGGACATGAGATATTTATTTCTTAGTTATGTATCTTTTTACTTATATACTGAATATTGGATGTTATAATAGTACAAATTATTCATATTCATAACTTATGCGATAAAAAACAATACCTTTGATTTGTGCCCATATTAGCTCAATGGCATTGTACTGGCAGTGATAAGGCGGAATTCGAAGTACCCGATGTCCATGTGCTAGAGCTATCTCATCTACTTCATAACGGACTCTTGATGTTTTATTTTCGCGTACCAACTTTACTAAGTCAGACTTTAGCATTTCGGCAGTAGTTTCAATTCCATTTTGGTGTAGCCATGCTACGAGATCAGCTTTCTTGTCGGCCTGAGTAGGCGCTTTATTCACTTGTTTCGAGTGATATGAAGCGTTGTCCATTATTATGATAGAAGGCTCTGGCAGGCTAGGTAATAATTGATTTTCGGACCAATTCGTAAAAGTGTCTGTATACATCTCGTCGTGGTAATCGGAAGTACTTTTTGACGCGAAAGCCAGCAGTCCATTTTCAAAGAAACCACTTTCAGCAGAACCGGCGTGACAAATTATCAGTCGCGATCCTTTTCCAATTGGAACCTTTGAGGTTGATGCTTTTGTTTCGTCAGTCCAAGAGCGTGACACAGTGTGGTTCTCATTTAACCATGTTTCGTCAACAAAAACGACGTTGTCCCAAGACTCGATTTTTCTGGCTTCTCTTAAAAACTCGCTCCTTTTAATTATTAAATCAAATCTTTCCATTAATATTTTCCTTTTATTCGTTTTTTTATATTCAAACCCAATTTCGTGCAATAGTTTTGACAACGCCGTTTTACCGCCTTTAAACAAGCGAGCTTCTTTTAAAGAGACCAAAAGCAAACGTCTAGTTGGAAACTCGTTCCTAGTATAATAACCATATATGTGATTTCTTATTGCATCTGCATCAAAAACATCAACACCTGTCACGGGCTTTTGTCTTCGTTTTTTCTTAGGAGTGCGTAAAACATTATCTTCACTTCCAGAAGCACCAAATTTTTCTTTATTTATATTATATAGTGTTTTTGCACCAATTCCAAGAGCTTGTGAAACCCGATCTTTCACTTGAGTGACAGGAATCAAAGGGCCGCCATTTTGTGACTCACGCTCAAAGTAATCCTGTAGCTTTAGTACAAGCTCACGACATTGACTATTCAATGTTTTTCCTCGTTTCGGCATTTTCAACAAAATTACCAAACACAAACAAAATTAATCCAATAAAGCGCAACGATAAACAGGAGAAAGCCGAGTCAAAAAACAACGGTTACACAAGAGAACGTAGTCTGTGCGCACGAGAGTACGGAAGACGACTAAACAGATTAAAATAGCGGTGGTAAGGGTGCTGCCAGAATAGTATCGCCAATTACTTAAAATAATACACCTATAACATTGCTTAATTGAGGGAGAAAATTATATTTATTAAATGTTGTTTTATATATTATGAATGTTAAAAATTATACATAATCATTTTAATTATTTATCTTTTATTTATTATTAGTCTAGTTGCTCGAAGGAATAAGTAAAATAAAAATATCCAAATATAATAAATATCATATCTATTCCAATGAATTCGGACCGAATACTATCAAGCACATCACTATGAAAACTAGACGCACGATGTAGCTTTGTACAAGCGCGCCAAAGAACAAAAAATAAATGTTTTCATATTATTTACAAACTATTTTAAGTTTTGAAACAGAGTTTATTGGAAAATTACTTGATTCTGACATTTTGACATAATGTTTTATATTAAAGAGGTATTCTAAATCATTCGGCAAATGTGTCGCTCGTGCAAGGTTATATCGATTAATTTAAGAATAATCTGTCAAATCGGTAATAACTCAGCGGCCGTACTATAGGTCTTTGTAAGTTTAAGCTGAACATTACAGTTTTTTTAACTGAGCTTTGGTAATCAATTCGGTAATTTATGTAATTTGAGATAATTATATAATTCTAGTTATAAGATTAAATGAAGGAAAAAAAAATAGTTACGATGGGAACATTAAGTACGCCATCAGTCGCGTGCAGAGTTATCTTGCGCCTTTGAGCATAGAAAATAGAGGAGATGGCAAGCCTACAAAAAAATCGTGTCAAATTAGGACAATAAATGGCGGACGCTGTAAGCTCCGCCCATTTTTTAGTGATGTGAAGTCAATCAACTTTTAAAATTTAGTAACACATTTATGTAGGTATTTTTATTTATTTTTAATATGCAAAATTATATTTTCTCTAACGATTAGGGAGGCTAGGGGAATTTCGCGTCAATTTAACCGCCAGATGATTGCTGCTCCAGTTTTATCGTTTAATTAATAGTTTGAAGACGATTTTGATACTTAATGCACGGATAGCAACTCGTGCTTGTAAGTTAAGCTAGTTGCTCTGACTTCATATTATACAGAATAAGCTTTACTTCTGGGCTAATAAGTTACTATCTAAAGCCAGGATGGTTAAACAGGATGGAGTTCTCTTTTTGAGCTAGTAGCACCCCCCACCATTTTTTTTCTACTATTCTGGCTTGTGCACCAGTTTCGTGTGGTCGTTTAAGCTAATATCTCTTGAAGTAAAAACTACTTTAGAATCGCTGTGATTTGAATATTATTATACTTTACGATAACACTTGTGGTTACAAATTATCATAAAAAATAAATTATTTGCCGTGAAATATTTTTTATGTTATATCCACCCCGCCTAGCATGGGTGATTTCTGGATTTTGGCAACAAAATCAGAAAGACCAAGTGAAGTAGACACAAAATAATAAAAATCTGCGGATACTAAACCGCCTGCCAAGCGTAGTAGCTGTGGCAAAATGCCCTATGAGGCAATCTATAGTATAGAGCTAGGTACAGCAATGAACTTTTAGAATGTAATGGATGGATGGATGGAGTAGGAAAATAAATAAATTTAAATTTTTGTTAGCAATAGAAAGTAGTTTAATAACGTAATATTTTTATAAAATACTTATCTTGTTTGTTAAGATTCTAATATACGAGTATGAATCTATTAAAAATTATTGTTAAAAAACTCCAGAACAAAAAAAAAATGTAAAATGATCATAATATGTAGGTGATACTGAGAGATAGTCTATTCCGATTTAGTTATGCAAGAATTTTTGTACCTCTAAACAATTTTGTTTGGGTTTACTGGCAGAGAATGCCTTATGAATTACCTTAACTAATAAAATGTTACCTACTTACGGATGTATTTTAAGAAGCATTAGTAATATTTACAAACAGAATTGAAATACGAGTAGTAAGTTTAGGGAGCGGTGCTGAAGCTTTTTAAAAACAACTAAATATGTTGCTGTCATTTAATTATAGTGATAAATTGAGTGCAATACTGACTTACTTAACTAAGTGATTACATTACTACGATGAGGGCCATAATGAATGAATTCTAAATGCAACCAACGGCTTTTATAAGATGGGCAAAACAAGTCTGTTGATTAAAAGTATGACACCTAGATTTGACCAGCCATAACAATTATACAGAGGAGTTACATGTTTTGAATAATATCAAAAGCTTAATCTGCACAATACGTGATCAACACTTGGTTGTAAAATTATGGCTATAACTTAAATAGTTGGTAGTTTTAGTGTGCAAGATGGAATTAATCTAGATATGTATTTATTTATGCTACAATAACTAGATATGAGAGTATTTATTTATTTATTTAGATTTTCTCGTCTCGTCTTTGCTTAACTCTTTCGATAGATGATACTTAAGTAGTCTTTTAAATGTGTGCATTGATTTTGAGTCTCTAATATTTTTAGGTAATTTGTTATATATTTGTGAATCTTCATACATTATGCATTTTTTACCGATATTTGTTCGTGGTGTTAATAATTCAATAACGTTGCTTCGCTTAAGTTTCATTTTGTGTAGTGGTATTCTCTTTGAAAAATTTGTTTGTGTATATCTTTATTAAAAAAAAATTCGTACTAATATACAATTTCGGTACTTGTATGTTTGCGATATGTTCATTACTTTAATTTGTAAAGCTTATGTCGGTATAAGATAATCAAAATGAAACAAAACTTTCAATAATTTATTTTGAGCAGTTTGTAGTATATTCTAGATTAGTTTTGGCTGCATTGCCCCATATTTCTACTAGATAATCGATTTGTGGTTTCACAATGGAATTATAAATCGTATACCTTACAGGGACTGGAAGACAGCGAGCAGAATACCCTTTATCATAGTCATTAGATATCAACTTAGATTTTATTTTTAGAACGTGCGGGTACCTAGATACTTTTCTTGATCAGTCTTATTCATTTTTATGCCTTCAATCATCAAAGGACTACAATCACCAATCTTTGTGTTTTTAGCTGCGAAAATCATATAGCTAGTTTTGGTTGTTAGAAGATTGCTCTGTAACCATTCATT